CAATTACATCATAGTCATGTTTGGGATTTTGGAAAATTTACATTGAAATACAGTTATTTATATATTATATTTGCAAATATAGTGTTGTTTGTTTAACAAGAGAACAATAGTAATTTGTTATCCTTCAGTTCTAACTGTTGCTGATCAGACATTAACCCTAATTAACCTACAGGTCTATACTGGTCTTGTTTTTGTTATTTTAACTGGTTGTAATTTTTGGTTTCTCTGAATAAATATTTTAACACTGGGGCGGTCACCAAAAAATGCTCTGACACTGCAAAAACTAGTTAGGAAAAGACCACTTTGGGTCATCAGCATTGAGGCTCGCATCAACACACGTACCCATAACCACATACAGGTTAGGCAATCTATAGGAAAGTGCTATGTGTTGCCATCATTGTATATGTTCCATACAATGACAAAATTAGTTCTCTGCGTTTAACCCATCACACCTGGGATATACCCAGGTGGAGCAGTGGGCAGCTATGTAAGTGCCTGGGGAGCAATTAGGAATTATGTGTCTCATGTGGGAATGGATGGGGATTGAACCTGGGACTTTCGGGCCTCGAGTCAGCTGCCCTCCATCTACCCCATCTTGGCCACTAACACTGATGGCTCTTGAATATCTTCACTAACTGAGACCAGTTGTCATCAAGAGAATTATATAAGAAAAGTGGTAGGCACAACTAACCAAAAAGTTAGCTTTGCTAACTGCTAAATTGCTAACTAAAACATTAGCTTTGCTAACGCTAACCGCTAAACAGATAAAAAAATATCAGAAGCTGATGCTAAAGCGCTAACTTTTATCATACACTGCTGTCGCTGACACTAGCTATGTTTACATGTGCAAAACTCTTTGATTGGATTGAAAAGTATTCAGATAAAATAATCCAAATGTATTGTTTACATGGACACAATTCATTCACAATGAGTGTTTACATGCAGCGGGTTTTTATTCGGAATAGAAGTACTGACATGCGCAGAGTGGTAAACTTTCCTTAAAAAAACACAGAAGAAGAAGTTCTACTTCCATGATAAACGTAAACAAATCTGAGCGCCCAAATTGAACCCGCACCTGGTTTTAACGACGGTGGATACATTACTGCACTCCCTGATTGAGCTACAGGTAATACAGATCATTTTGAGCTCTTTCGTAGTTTCTAGTAGAAATGTTGTGTCGCTCACCTACCAGTTGTACTTCCCCGACATATTAGCATCTAGCCAAGCGAAAATGTATGAGGTTGACATAGGTTGCATTGCACAGTCAGGTTGCAAAAACTGTATATGGAAGAGGTAGAAAAGAGAGTCTTGATGTCTTTTTCAGGGACACCACCGAGTCATTGGTTCAGGTATGTTGATGACACCTGGGTTAAAATTATATCTCAGGAAGTCCAACATTTCACTGATCACATCAACTCTGTGGATAAATATATAAAGTTCATAGAAGAATATGTAAAAGATGGTAGGTAGGCTTTCTTGAACTGTGATGTCAGTCCCAGTCCAATAAAGAAGAACATTTGCAAACTGATGTGTACCATAAACCCATCCACACAAACCAGTATTTGCAGTTTGACTCCCATCACCCTTTGGAGCACAAGTTAGGAGTCATCAGGACTCTGTATCACAGAGCAGACAGCGTCCCCACTAGCTCAGGAGCCAGGAAGAAGGAGAAATCCCACACAAGACAGGCTCTAGAGCAATGTGGATATCCTAACTGGGCCTTCCTGAAAGCAGAGATGAAACCCAAACATGATTCCAGTCAGCCATCAGGTGAAAAGGAGGAACCCAGACCAGTGGTCATTCCGTATGTTGTGGGAGTATCAGAGAAACTGACACACTTATTTTCTAAACATGACATCTCAGTAGTTTCCAAACCCCAAAATACATTACGGCAAAGACTGGTTCATCCCAAAGTTCCAGTCCCCCAGCACAAACAGAGTAATGTTGTGTATGCTGTTCAGTGTCAGGAGGGCTGTGATCAGTCTTACATCAGGGAAACTAAACAGCCACTAGGGCAATGTGGACCAAAATTAATATCTCGATATTTTATAAATGGCGATATATAATATTTATCTCAATATTTTTTTCTTTCCATAAGTAATAAAAATATATTTCCGAGTCAAAGCTTTGTCCCAATTGTCACACAGGTATGTATACAGTAGTAAACAGCTATAACTGTACAAAATAAATGTCTAAAACATAAACTATTTACATATATTAAATAGTTTATTTTTTAGACCTTTATTTACATATATTAAATAATAATCCTCTTCAGCTGCGCTGCCTTCACAACGTTGGTAAGCATGTGTGAACTGCAACTGCAGGTCCGACAGACTTCAGCCTCCTTCCCTGAAACAAACCACGGGTCAAAACTCATTTAGCTGTGTTGTGCCTTATGAGAGGAAGAGTGAGAGCGCAACATTAATAAAGTAAAATCTTATCATATCGCTAAAGACACGTTCCCAGTCTCAACTGTGCATCAAGATCGTTCAAGCTTTAGCCATCTTGTTAGCCACTAAAGACAGTGTCTTTAACGATATGATAAGCCACTGCTTTATTAATGTCGCAACACCTCCCTGTTCCTCTCACAAGGCACAGCATGGCTAAATGAGTTTCGACCCATGGTTTGTTTCAGGAAAGAAGGCTGAAGTCAACAGTCGGAGCTGCAACTGCAGTTTCACACATGCTTCGTATTCCACTTATAGCGCTGTTTTAAATTATGAAAAAGAATAAGATTCATAGTTCCGACCTTTCGTCAGGACTGTTTTCAGCATTGTCTACAGAAATCATCTTTCTGCCCCTCATCGGACAAATTTAAATCTAAACCTTCTCCGAAAGAACAGTCATTGTATGTCATTGTGTTCAGCAGCTAAGCTGCTCTTCATATATCTTCTGTGTTTACTTGTGCTAAAAGTCTGGGTTTGAGAGGACAGGAAGGAGGAACAGATACACAATGGCAGGTCAAGATCACATGTTAAGATATAAATAGTATCAAATGAAAACTATTCAATTTTAACAATTCGTTTAAGGAAATTAGGTCAATTTGTCCTCTAGTAGTGTAAGCCTATAGCAGCATAACAAACCAACCCTAACTACATGATTTATCAAAAGGAAAGTCTTAACCCAGTCTTAAAACTGGACAGTGGGTATGTTTACATGGACATAAGTAACCGGATCAAATGGCCGGTCGGAATAAAAGTGTGTCATGTAAACACTCCGTTCGGGTTATTTTTTGTGTATTCGGCGCGATCCGATATAATTTGTGATCAGAACGAAACGGGTGGTTTACGCCGATCCGAAACCCGATCGGTGTGCATGTAAACGCTTGATCTGTTCGTTTCTATCTGATGGTGAAAAACTGGCCTGATTGCGCATGTGCGACTTTGCCATTTCCGCCTGGCTAACGCTAATAATATTAGCATGTCAGGGAAGTAAAACTGGTCGGTGAGCGACACATTTCGACTAGAAACTTTTAAAGAGCTCAAAATGATTTCTATTACCTGTAGCTCAGTCAGGGAGTGCAATAACGTCTCCATCATCATTAAAACCTGTCGCGGGTCCGTTTTGGGTGCTCAGGTTTGTTTACGTTCACCTGGAAGTAGAACTTCTTTTTCGGTGTTTTTTTTAAGGCGAGTTTACCACTCTGCGCAAGTCAGTACTGCTGTTCAGAACAAAGCCCGCTGCATGTAAACGCTCATCATGAACAGATTGTGCGCATGTAAACAACACATTTGAATTATTCAAACAGAACACATTTCAATCCGGTCAAAGAATTGTGCGCATGTAAACATGGCTAGTGTGTCAGCCTCACAGACAGAAACTGGAAGTGGGTTCCACAAGAGAGGAGCCTGAAAACTGAAAAATCTTCCTCCCATTCTGCTTTTGGAAACTCTAGGAACCGCGAGTACGCCTGCAGCCTGAGAGCGAGAGATTTGATACAGGGCATAAATGATCAAGCAGCATCATGAAGGCCAAGGAACAAACGGGACAGGTCAGAAAGTTGTTGAGAAGCTTAAAACAGCTAATTAAACAATATCCCAAGTTTTGAATGTGTCACACACACACACACACACACACACACACACACACACACACACTGTGCTGTGTAGTTCAGTGTGACTTGTGAAAATATGTGACAAACACTTGTTGTTACAAACTGTCCTGTGCTGCATGGTTTCCTTGTTAAACAATTGGGTAATTATGGGAGACGTTAAACAGCAAACAGTTTATGTGACAGTTACAACAGATATTTTAGTGTACTGAGGTATGAAAGTATGTAAACATGAAACTTGTATTTTTTTCAGACAGACAGACAGAATGGATGGATGGAGGACGGAAATGCAAGTCAGGTTCTTACGTCACAATATTAAAAAAAAGCCTTACTAACCAGACTGCAAAGAGGAAACCACACACACACACACACACACACACACACACACACTCCCTACTTTGACCTCCCCTTCTACAGTCCTACAACTCAGAGACAGAGACATTTAACAAGCCTTGTCTCACTCACACACACTCCTTCACTTGAATCACATTCCTTACACACGCACCCCCCCCCCCCCCCCCCCCCCACCCACACACACACACACACACACACACAGTACAATAGGAAGGACAGTGCTTGAGTGTTCTTGTTATCAGAAAGTGTGTTTACAGTTTGATTTCCGGTCATTCTGCAGATATGGTGTGTGTGTGTGCGTGCGCGCGTCTCGTTCAGCGTGCAGCAGCAGCGTGAGGGTTCGTCACCGCTTTGCTCCGACTCTTGCAACAGTAACTCTCCTTTCAGCTGTTGTTTCTGGAGAAAACACGTCCGTGCTGTGGTGGAGGAGATGCGGGCCTGCAGCTGCCCCGCTGACAGCTGCCTGCAACTTTGATTTGTTTATTTGTTTATTTATTTTTGGGAGGTGGGTCATCTACTACGAAGCATTTCAACTAAAAAAAGGACATTGTTTTAATAAAAGCCAGGCAGGAAGAGCCGAAGGCGGTTCACTCACCAGTCGCTGAAAGCCCCTGCATTTTGCACAAACTTGCTCTCAGCTCCGTCTCAGCTGAAGCCGTGCTCTCCTCGGGAGAAGCTCCGTGGACTAAACTCCGGGTTCAGAGCTCCTCTTCTCCTGTTCGCGGACAAACACGCGCAGAGGCGCTAAGTGCTCTTCATGGTGTCCTAATGGAGGCAGGGGATGTTATTCGGGTCGGTTTTTGTGTGGATTAAGGGCAGAATGTGTCTCCATGAAGCCCTTTCTCCTCCCTCTCTCCGGAGGCAGAGCTCTCTCCTCTGAGCCGCTGGAAAAATGTGACGCGCGCTCCCGCCGGAGCGAGGCGCGGTCACGAGTGTCCCATTCATTGAGTGATCAAATAAAAATAAAAAAAACTAGAAAAATATAAATATTAGATTACTCTTCTTTGAAATAAACCTTTAGCCATTCATACAGCCATTTGTTTAGCTCTTTTTGAAGATGGGTGCTAGGACGTTCGCTTTCTGTAAACTTAACAAAATATTTAACTTTTTTTAAAATGACCTCCACCAAATAATTTTTTAATAAATTGAGATTTTTTTCATTTATCTTCTCTTTGAAATCTGCTTTAGCAAACGTATTGTCTACTTAAGCTAATTCCAGGTTATAGCTAATATTGTTAGCTTGCAGCTAGCCTTTGTCTATTTTAAAATTTTCACTTTAGCTTTTAGCTGCTGCTTTTAATCATCTTTTGTTACTTTTAGCTAGTCATTTCCTTTTAGCTTATATCTAGCATTTCACTACTTTTAGCTTATAGCTAATGTTTTGATAATTTAGCTAACCATTTGCTGCTTTTAGCAACCTGTTTAGCCATTGATTTGCTACTTTTAGTTTCATTTAGCTACTTTTAGCTTTTACCTACTGTTCTGCTTTAAGCCAGCCTTTTGCAACTTTTAGGTAACCTTTTCATACTGCTTTTAGCATGTAGCTACCTTTTTATCTTTTAGCTTGTGGTTTAATTTAATTATAAAGGTAGCTACACGCTAAAAGCAGTTAGCTAAAAGATCAAAAATATTTGCTACAAGCTAAAAGTTGTAAAAGGCAAACTAAAGACTAAAGTATGAAAAGGTTAGCTAAAAGTCGCAAAAGGCTGGCTAAAAGCAGAACAGTTGGTGAAAGCTAAAAGTAGCTAAATGAAACTAAAAGTAGCAAATCAATGGCTAAAATCTAAACAGGTTGCTAAAAGCAGCAAATGGTTAGCTAAATTATCAAAACATTAGCTATAAGCTAAAAGTAGTGAAATGCTAGATATAAGCTAAAAGGAAATGACTGGCTAAAAGTAACAAAAGATGATTAAAAGCAGCAGCTAAAAGCTAAAGTAGCAGAACAATAGTGAAAATTTAAAAATAGACAAAGGCTAGCTGAAAGCTAACAATATTAGCTATAACCTGGAATTAGCATAAGTAGGCAACACGTTTGCTAAAGCAGATTTCAAAGAGAAGATAAATGAAAAAAAAATCTCAATTTATTTAACTTTTAGTCCAGGTAGCTTTCACAGCATATTTTAGAACGTCAACAGGAAATGGAATTCCTCCAGTTATTTTGTGATGTCTATTTTAAGCTGCGTTTTCATCCACGACATCCCCACAGGCTCAGAGGCATGACACTGGCTGTCACGTGAAGTTATGAAAAGAATGAAGAGGCCTGTTTCAATAGATGGCTCAGCCCAGAATCCTCCACTTCTACTTATTAGAGTGGAAAAAGAGAAAGATCTCGGAGCACAAACTGGCACAGGGTTTCCATGTCACTGCTCAGACTCGTCTCTTATCGTGAGTTTCTGATCGGTGGACGCTGAACACCAGAGAACAAAAAGAAGCAGATCGTTTGAGAAAGCACAATGCGTAATTTTGATAAAGCGTTAAACTTTAAGATAGCAAACCTATAAGATGCAACCATGAAAAAATCTCTATCACTATCTCTGACGGTTTTTTAATAGTAACTTGATGTCTGAACATTTAGACGTATTGTACAGCATAGTCTGACAGCTGCGGTAGTTCTTAATAAAGTACAGAAAAAACAAAAGTTTAAATAAGATTTACTCAAAGACAGAGAGTTAAACAGATCATTAAGCTTTTGACTTGAAAACATTAGATCGCTCTTTGTTCAGACACTCGTGAAACTGAGATGTTATGCGAATAACACAATCATTTTGTGTTTTTGTTTGCATGCACAATAAAATAAAGCAGGTTTTGTTGAACTAAAGTGTTAACATGAGATGGAATTTAATACTGCTAGTTAAATCCAGCTTTATTTCATTGAATAAATATTGTTCAGGGAGCCTTTTCTTTCTTGCAGATGCACTTTACTAGCAAGGCAAGAGTACTATTTTTGTCTTGGACTTTCAGCTATTTGCTCTATGAGCTTTTTAAAGATGTGCAGATTTTTTGCATTTTTTTCCGTCCGTGCAAAGCTTCAAAAATATGTATTAGATTTATGAAGGCAGTAAATAAGTCTGGCATTTCATTGTGTATTTTAAGTGCCGCTCTCCTTGTTTCAAAATAATGTTTTTGTTTAAAACATTATAACATACGTTGAACAATTTATAAAAGAAAGTTCTGGGATTTTTTTTATTTTTTTTTATCTTTCCTAACTTAATGCACATTTCCTGGATTTCAGAATAATCGTCAAAACCTTTCAACCCTTTGAGATAAAAAAGGCCAAAGCTGAAGGAGCGCCACCCCAAACAGCTTCAATAATAAAGCACTTATGTATGATTACCAGTTTAGCATCAGTCACAGAACCAGTGATCCAGCTTTTCACTGATATTTAATATCTGCTCTAATATTTCCACATTGTCCGGCTGTGATGTCGTTGTTTCAGCTAATCTTCTGGAGCACGTGTCCTGCAGCTCTCATGTGTCTGCTTGCTCACACCCCTCCTCCCCGCCCTTTGAAACTTGTGTCTCTTCAGTCATGCACCATTAACTCCTTTGTAGCTGCTGCTGCTCCTGTCACTAGCCTGGATCCATAGAGACAACAGCGAGGCCTCTGGTCACGATCCGTCACTGTGTGGCTGCTTGGCTGGAAAAAGCTCCTCTCCAATAACCCCCACTGATGCAGAGCACTCATGTACATTCATTCTTTCAACCTTTATTTATACCGTTAGTCTCATTGAGTCACAAGGACTCTTTTTTTAAGAGACCTGTTTTAGACAGACAACATATAAAGGAAAGAAAACAATAATTCAACAAAAAACAATTATAATCAAATAAAAGACGTTATGAACAGTCAAATCAAGATGCCATGTCATATATATGTACTTCATGTCTCTCCAGTTTTAGCTTCTCTCCACTGGCTCCCTGTCAAATCCAGAATAGAATTCAAAATCTTCTAACCTACAAAGCCCTCAACAACCTAGCTCCATCTTATATTACAGATCTTGTTGTTCCATATTTTCCTAACAGAGCACTTCGTTCTCAGACTGCAGGTTTACTCGTGGTTCCTAGAGTTTCCAAAAGCAGAATGGGAGGAAGATCTTTCAGTTATCAGGCTCCTCTCTTGTGGAACCAACTTCCAGTTTCTGTCCATGAGGCTGACACATTGTCCAGTTTTAAGACTTTCCTTTTTGATAAATCCTATAGTTATGGTTGGCTTGTCATGCTGCCATAGGTTTAGACTACAGGAGGACAAATTGACCTCATTTCCTTAAATGAATTGCTAAAATTTAATAGTTTTCATTTGATGCTATTTCTATTTTAACATGTGATTCTTGACCTGCCATTGTGTATCTGTTCCTCTTAAACCCAGCCGGTCGAAGCAGAAGATCACTTGTCCTGAGCTGGTTCTGCTATAGGTTTCTTCCTCATGAGGGAGTTTTTCCTTTCCACTGTCGCCTTCATGCTTGCTCAAGATGTCTGTGACGGAGTTGAACTCAAAGCAGTCTGCTCCTCAGATAAATAATGTTATTAACTTATTTTTATATATTAACCTTTCTGCTCAGTGCCCTGACATGTCTTCTGTTGTGACTTGGTGCTATATAAATAAACTGGATTGAATTGAATATACGTAGACCAAACTTCCACCTTTCAGGCGAAGAGGATAGAAAGACAAACTTTTGCTCTGAGTTTCTGCTACAGGTGATCGTAGTGCAGCTTGTGTTTTGTGGCTGTCTGAGCTTTGTGCTTAAAATGAAGCAGAGGCCCAGTGAGATCACCGAACAACCCTCTGGGGTGCGTGCATCCCCTCTCTGCTCCCCTGAGGCTCCGCAGAGAATCATGAACATTCATGAACCGGGAACAGGATGGGGGAAAGGTGAAAGACTGCTGGGATTGTAGGACAAAGGACAGCCCGAGGAAGACTGCTTTAGGGGTAAGATGAAGATGAGTGCAAAAACCAGCCCACGTGTCAGATCAGGTTTTTACACTTCAAAGCGATCAGGGTGACAACACACCATATCACTGATCACACTCCATCCTGAGGTGCCAGCCTCTGTTCGTTCTCACTCCTTTTCAGGTGCAAATTAAAGCCTCGCCCCGCTCGAATCAACACCTGGTCTGTCGTTCCACTCACACAAAGCAGCAGCTGCGTGGAGATACGGCCGACACATCCAGACTGGCGTCACTCTCCACAGGTCATGTGTTTGTTGACATTTTGACTTTTGAATCCGGTCCATGTGCAGCACGTGTGCTGATGATTGAGTGTGGTTCTTCTAGAGCAGCTGATCAGCGGCGCTTTGGGCTCCACATGGATTTATCACATGCCAGCGCCGGCTGACACATAAAGAAGACTCTTTGTGGGAGCCGTGTCTCCACCGCTCTCTCTCTCTTTATAGCAAATAATAACCATTAAGTCAACTGGTCAGGACTGCAGCTGCTCCTGAAAGGCCCAGAAATTGTTGTGTAGCGACTCCAAGTGGGGGGGTTTAAAAACTGCATCAGCTGAGATTGGAACCAGCTGTTCTGTTGAGTGAAATCCCCCGCTTTTATTCTGAAATCCATTCAGAGCACCTGTGTAAAAACAGAGGAGTGCTGCCATGAAAACCAAGCCTACTGACCCACATTTCATCTGCG